CCTATAAAGGCGTATATGATGGGGTTCATGCAACTGTGAGAAAATCCCAGGATCTCAGTGCCTACAAGAGCTGCATCAATGGCATTACGGCGGCTACAGGTGTCAGCAATAAAGTGAGTCCTCAGCAAGGTATCAACCAGGAGGGAGATGTTGTAGGGCAGCCAGCAGAACAAGAAGATCAGCACAACAGCTAGGATGACTTTCATGGCTTTCTTCTTTTGACTGTTCTTGGTTTGGAAGAGCCTGTGCACTGTCACACCATAGCAGAAGAGCATGATGAACAAGGGAACAATGAAGCCAAACGTTTGTGGTAGGATTCTCAACACCACCCGCCATTTATCTGTTTTATTCCACCCAATATTTTCATAACAAACCCTTTGGGAGGTATTGGGTGGCTGGAAAACATTACGGGAAGCAATCACTGGAAGAGAGAAAAGGAAGGAGAACAACCAGATGCCAATGCAGGCAAACTTGACCCAGCGCCTCTTCTCAGTGGCTGCTCGAGTAGCATAAACTATTGCCAGGTAGCGGTCAATGCTGATGAAGGCCAAGAGGAGGATGCCGCTGTAAAAGTTGACTTCCTTCAGGACTGAGGTGAGTTTACACATGACCAAGCCAAAAATCCATTCATGGGCTCGGTAAATGGCCCAGATGGGCAAGGCGAGGGCAAAGAGGAGATCAGCAATGGCCAGGTTCAGAAGGTATACGTCAGTGACCGAACGGTTACGTTTGTTGTAAGAGACAACCAGAACTACTAACGAGTTTCCCACCAAACTCATTAAGCACACCAGGCAATAGATGAAGGCAACAATGTATCTGACCACAGGTGATGCACTCTCAGGTCTGCAGGGTTCTGCTTCACTGTTGAAGTCGATACTATAGTCATCAGTAAAACTATAGTTTGGAAAGAGATCATAAAGATCCCCTTCAAATGTGAGCACATCTCCCATCGTGGAAGTCTTGGCCTGTGTCAAGTAGGAAGCAAAAAACGATTGATGAACAACTTCAATAAAATTATAGGATTACATTACTTTAGAACTGAATACAGTATCTGCCCTGAACTGTGAGTGTATTGGCTGCATGGTGCAAAAATCCCTCTATTCCCTTTCCTTGATAACTGAGGGTTGACGTCTGCCATGTTATAAATTCCTCCTGTTCATGAGCTGCTTCCTCATACCCTTCCCAATGTATTCCTCTACTACTTGGAAAGTCTTGAAAACTCTCCTCCTCCCTCAGAGTGTCTGTCAACCTTCATTCACCTTTCTTAGAAACAGGGAGACTGGATTTCCCAGCTGTTGAACATAGCTGTAGCCTCCTACCCGCCCATCTGCCCCCAACATAATATGGGTGACTGCAGTTGTTGACTTTACAGTCTTCAGCCATACACACATAGACTTCCCTCCTTCAAACACAACATTTCCTCCTCCTCAAACTTTTAGAACAGTTGCGTCATTCAAAGGAAAGAAATACATTTGATATGATGTTGTTAAGTACCAAAGGCAACTGTGTGATAGAATAATGCAACAAATCACTGCCTTGGGCATCATCTTAAAATTTCGAGGAAAGTATCTGCTGGTCAAAGACAATTCCAAAGGACGAATTTTAAAATGAATCCTAGTAGTAACTAGCTTAACATTGCAGCTACTCACACACCTCTTTAAGGTTCAGCTCTCAGATGTTTTCTGAATCAGAGATGACATGGGATTCTTGTGATTGTCTGCATGGCTGACTTTAGAGCTTCCCTCACCATGTCCTTCGTGTCCTTCTGTATTTACAAACAAGAGAAAATGAGAATAAGTGAGAATTAGAAGGAAGTTCTTGACACATCAAGAAGGAAGTAAGCTACTAAAACCACTTTGTTTGAATACATCCAGTTTCTCCTTCCTGTGTCCTTTCGAGACTCACCTCTATTGCCTTAGCCAATGAAGTATTCTGGTCAGAAGTCTATCCCTTTTCATTATGTGTATTAATTATAAATAAGTCAAACTTATTTTTAATGCAAGACACTGCTGAGGACTGAGCATATTTGGAGGAGGTAAAAACATCCACTTCCTGAACACAAAAGCACCAGGCCATCATCTGTTCAGTTCCCAAATACAGAGGACCTGTCTGCCAGATAGACCTACAACACAAGTCCAAGTGGCTTGTTGCTAAACAGAGAGCAATCCTTGTAATCCAGATTAAAGTGTTCAGCATGTGGAGATCTCTGGTAAAGCTTCCCAGATAGATTCAGGCAGGGACCATTGATGAAGAGGCCTTCTTGAGGAAACTGATACTACTGGCTCTGCAGGCCGTTTTCTGCAGCCAGCCACTACTTTGCTAGTGGGGCAGTGTGGTGTGAACTTTAGTAGTGAACTGATCCCCTTTGACCACATTAGTCATGCAATATAATTCAAGGGAGGAGAGATCATCTGGCATCTACTACCAATCAAGCAAAGAAGGCTGTTTTCATCAGGTTGGTGATTCCAACAGCCACTGTGAGTGTCTCTACTCACAGAAAGGCAGTTTATAAAAGTGAATAGGTAGGTAAATAAGCAGTCACTTCCCCCACACTGTAGCAATTCACCTCCACACATGGAAGAGGAAGGAGAAGGGAGGAAATCTTATACAGTAGGTCTTACCACATATGGCTATAGTTATCTATTTTTGACATCAAATAACTGGCTAGCACTGAATGTTCTTCCATCTATATCCTTGGTTTCAACATAGTCCTTTTTGGAAGAGATACAGAAAAAGAAGATCCTTATGTAGGGAATCTGACTTAAGAGAACAAACTGTATCCATTGTCTTTGTTTCCTCTGTCTACACTGGCTACTTGTTTCCTAGTTATGGCTTCTTTCGCCTGCTTAGAGAGATACCAGCAAATGAGAGGTCACCTAATAGTATGTCATTAAATCAATTGGATTTGGCTGTGTGCCAACATAGCCAGAGGCAGGTAGAGCCCATTCATATTGAGGGTAACGTTTCCCATATTGTAAGCCGCCCAGAGATCTCTGGGTATTTAATTAATTAATTATTGATTAATTAATTAATTAATTAATTAATTAATTAATTGATTGATTGATTGATTGATTGATTAAATAAATAAATAAATAAATAAATAAATAAATAAATAAATAAATAAATAAATAAATAAATAAATAAATAAATAAAATTATTTATATGCATAGGCCTAGCCAGTCAGAAACCCCATAGTGAACAGGATGACATCACAAATCTTTCTCATACTCCAGGATTCAAAATAAATATAAAAATAGCCAGAAAGAACAGCAAGAAAAACTACTACACAAATAATACTAGCTCCCAAGACATTTAGAAGAATCTCTATATGAATTAAATTTAATGGTTCTTCAGCTTCATGGGACAAGGTTTGAAGAACGCACCCTACTGAAGGGTGGATCTAGCTGGCAACGTCTAGAAATCTTGAATCAGTCTAAACCTGGGTAGACAACATCTTGTCCTCCAGATCATTACTGGGCTGCCCATCATTTCTCACCATTGATGAAAGCTGAAGTCCAACAACATTTGGAGAACTATCATTTGCTCACCTGGATTGAAACAAAAGCTTTTTTCCCCCACTTAAGATACAGATATCTGCTAGGGGATTCAAAGACCCAACACTTCTCTTTCTTTCTTTTTCTGGTCAAAAACCTGGGAGGAGGGGAACCGTGCAACAATAAGTGAACCACTTTTTCTGATTCATTAGCAACCTCATGCATGGTTGGGAAAGCAGCGTCCACTGGGTATTTCAGTTTATTGTTTCCAAGCAGACAGAAACTGGACTCTGCTGTTGTTCAGCAAGAAGGACTCAAATCAAGCAACACTGGGACTACAGTAGATGCTTTCCCCCTCTGCCCCCACTTCTTGGCCCAGCTACCAGATGGCTTCCTCACAACCCCTGTGCTCTGAAGGACCTAAGAAAAGAGGAAGCATTATGTGGGGGACAGAAATGATTTTACAACACAGACTTCAGTTTCCCAATGCTGTCAGCAGGCCAGTCTCCATTACAAGCCCGGACTACAATATCACACCAGATATGCATCCACACTCTTCTGGGCTAACAGCTGCATCACCAGAAGAGAATAGATAGTTCCAGTCATGTTGAGGACAGCAGCTGCTGGACAACAGAAGTAGCTGAAGGTGACACTGCTAGAGAAGGCAATGGCAGTGGCATTTCAGCTCACTTTTTGTTAATACTGCACAGAAGGTAAACCACTATTTGTTTACCTTGAAAGTAGGAGGCAATGGTAAACCACTGCTGAACTTTTATTGCCTTGAAAACCCTATGATGAGCATTCCAAAATGTAAAAAGAGATAGTGCTAGAAGGTGAGACTCCCAGGTTGGAAAGCCCTCAATCAACTACTGAGGAAGAGCAAAGGATAAGCATGAAAGGCACTATTGCTAATGATGCAACTAGATTAAAGCCAAAATGATGTCTGAAGGTCCCCAACCTCGGGCCTCCAGATGTTCTTGGACTACAACTCCCAGAAGCCTTCACCACCACCTCTGCTGGCCAGGATTTCTGGGAGTTGACATCCAAGAACATCTGGAGGCCCACGGTTGGGGACCACTGTGATGGTGGACCTGCAAAGAGTCCAAAAAAAGTCCAATGTAGCACAATGCATACAATAGAAACATGGATCATGAGAAGTATGAATCACGGTAAACTGGAAACCATGAAGTAAGAAATAGAATATAGATACTTTATAGTGCTTGGTGTCCATGAACTAAAGTGGACTTGAATGGGATATTTTCAGTCAAACAACCGCAAAGTGTTCCACTATGGAAATGACAAACACAGAATCTGATACTGAGGCAAGATGTAGCGCAGGAGTTGAAGGCCATAATAAAAAATCTGACCAATAATCTCAAGCAGACTCTGAGGAAAACCTATCAACATAACCATCATTCAAGTCTATGCTCCAACTACAGATGCAGAAGAGGAAATTAAAGGGTGTTTTTTAGCAACCAGGAGGAAACTGATCAGACACCAAAACAAGACATGCTTAAAATCATAGACGATTGGAATGCAAAAGTGGGAAACAAAACAGAATCAAATGTTGAAAAACTTGGTTTAGGAGACAGAAATGAAGCATGAATCAAAGAGTTCTGTGAAGCCAGCATTTATTTTTATTTTATTTTTTTTTATTTTATTTGCAAATATATGCTTCAAACAACTAGATGACTGTACACCAGATGGTCAATAAAGAAATAAAACAGACTACATAATTGGAGGCAGGAGATGGAGAAGCTGTATTCTCTCTGCCAATATAAGACCAGAAGCAGATTGTGGATCATGAACTGTTAATATCCAACACAGAGTAGATATAAAGATTATTTTTAAAGAGGAGTTATGTGATGAAGAACCTGCAGTTCTAGAAAATAAATTGAAACTGCTCTGAAAGCACTAGGAAGAAATAAATCACCAGGAGAAGATGGGGTACTGACAGAACTATTTCAAGCCATGGAGCTTGAAACTATCAAAGTTCTAACAAGAATATGCCAACAAAATATGGAAAATAAAAGAATGGCTCATAAATTGGCTATCTTCACTATGCATTAGAATCCCCAAGAAAGGAAATGCCATGGAATGCAGTAAATACAGTGGTGCCTCGCTTAACGAGCGCACCGTATAACGACGAAATCGCATAGCGATCTCTTTTTTGAGATCGCTAATGCAATCGCTTACCGATGGCCTCTATGGCCAAAACTTGCATTGCGAAGATCGGTAAGCGTTTCGCTTACTGATCTTCGCATTGCGACGCCGGGAAATCAGCTATTTGGCTGCTCCAAAATGGCCGCCGGATGACCCAAAATGGCCGCCGCAACCATTTTCACGCCCTGCCCTCACTTACCGAGGGCGAGAAAATGGCGGCGTATGAGGAAACTTCACTTAACGGTGAGTATAGAAGCCATTGGAATGCATTAAACTAAGTTTAATGCGTTCCAATGGCATTTTGCGTCCCATTTAGCGATGTTTCCTCATAGCGAGGGTTAATCCAGAATGGGTTAACCTCGCTATGTGGTGCACCACTGTATAAGGCTATTGTTCTGATCTCCTCTACAAGCAATGTGATGCTCAAGTCATGCTCAAAGGCTTTTTCCTAATATAGAGTTACAAATGCCTGATGTTCAAGTTGGACTTTGAAAAGCAAGAGGCACTCAAGATCATATTGCAAAAATCGACTGGTTACAGGAGCACATCAATAAGAGGCACTCAAGATCATATTGCAAAAATTGACTGGTTACTGGAGCACATCAAAGAATTTCAGATGAAGATCAGTCTATGCTTTATGGATTACAGAAAAGCCTTTTTGTGTGGATCAGGAGAAACTATGGGTTGTCCTGAAAGAAATGGGTATGCCAAAGCACTTGATTGTCCTGATGTGTAACCTGTATTTATTTATTTATTTATTTATTTATTTATTTATTTATTTATTTATTTATTTATTTATTTATTTATTTATTTATTTATACATGCACACACCCAGATAGCATCTACTCGGGGCAGCTTACAAATATCATAAAATATCATTGAAAACATAAAGACATCATAACATTAAACAATTGAAAACACAAAGATAGATTTCAAGAATTGACAGGAGGGAAGGCCTGCCTAAAGAGCCAACTCTTTAAATGGCTCTTAAAAACACCCAACGAGGGTGCCAGGTGGATCTATGTTTGAAGGGTGTTTCATAGTCGAGGGGCCACTGCCGAGAAGGCCTGGTTTCTTGTTCTTTCTTTCCGGACCTCCCTTGGCATTAGGCCCCTCAGC